AGCTGATGCAAACAAGACGCTGCCAATGCTCATGCGACGTCCAGGCCAAGTGGACACTGCAGACAGGGCAGTAGACGAGGGGTGGACAAACAGGTCTGGTGTCCCGGGGCCCAGAATTGGACCCTCTTCCTATTAATTAATATTAGAAGGGGGCCCATGTGAGAATTTTTTTGTCCCGGGAGCCCACATTTTTGTAGACAGGAATGACTACAGAGCACGATATTTTCTTTTCACCAATAAAACTATTACTCTCTTATATTCAGTCAATGCACTATCTCGCTGTTGTTGTCAATACTTGATATTTTCTGATTTTCTATTTCGATATTTTGAAATCTATGGCAGATCTTTTGAGATTTTGTGTCCTATATTAAGCAAAATTGACTTGTGAGCTTTAAGACATGTTATAAAACACCAAAAAATACTCTTGGTGATATATCGATACAGCAGCCCACGATATCGATACTATATCATCACATTAAACAATACGATATGTATTTTGATATTTTTTTCACACCCCTAGTGTTAATTAACATGTGTGAATAAAACAACACACAGTTCCAGGTATATTTTTGATGAGGAAACAATATTATATCACAGATTCGAAAAAAGCGTATTATGGGCCTTTTAAAATGTACTTTCGGTAACACTTTATAATAACTACACCTTATTTAGTCTTAATAAAGCATGAACAAAGACTTAATTAATAATGATTCACGCTTAGTAACTACTTAATTACTACCTGAATTAGCACTTAACTTGCACATAATTCTCCTGTGCTGTAAATAGTTACTCATAAGTATTTCTTACTTAATTACTCATGAACTAACCATTTGTGTGTGCATTTCTAAATGTATATTTAAGTACAAATTTGAGCATTTATTAATGATTAGTAAACCATGAGAGAATGATTTACTGGTAATGCATTATTGTTTCTCTGGAATTTGACCAACCTTAACAAATGCTTCATAAAGCATAATTAATTAGCCTTCACTTTAGAAAAGCTCTCAGAAAGACTTAACTAACAGATAACAGCTGCCTGAATGATCATTGCATTGGATTATTAGTAAATCAATCTCTCATAGCTTATTAATCATTAATAAATGCTCAAATGTGTACTTAAATATGTATTTTTAAACATGCAAATGGTTAGTTCATGAGTAATTAAGAAGTGCTGAGTTACTATTTACAGCACAGGTGAATTAAGTGCAAGTTAATTGCTAATTCAGGTAGTAATTAAGTAGTTACTAAGTGTGAATCATTATTAATTAAGTCTTTGTTCATGCTTTATTAAGACTAAATAAGGCGTAGTTATTATAAAGTGTTACCGAAAGTAAATTTTAAAAGGCCCATAATACACTTTTTTCAAATCTGTGATATGATGTTCTTTCCTCATCACAAACAGACCAGTTGAGTTGAGTTTTGTTTCATTCACGCTTGTCTAACACACAAACCCTGCACATTTAGACTTTTCTCGCAGACTGAAAACACTGTGTTACTTACTTACTTTCTTTTTATACTGAAATATTTACCCAGTATATCTTGAACTCTTAAATACAGAAAACACCACGAGTATCTTTAGCATGTATATAATATTGTCCATTGTTTACAGGCTCGCTGAAAAAGCCCACACCTTAAACAAACCTGCCTCATCTTGTTGTTTTTATGGTGCCATTAAACTGTTGTAAGTCATCGCACAGAGTCTCTTCAGGGAAATCCACCTGCGTGAACTTCACACGCCCAGATTTAATGCCGGCCGCCGGTTTTGAATGTGCATTTCAAAATGGCCACCTTCATTTGTTTATGTGCAAACTGCCCAAACATGAGGCTCTGCTGTGTTCTGGAGCTGGCCACGTCTTTCTTTTTAATTCACCGAGAGATTTTCTTATATGTTTTCATTTATTTGAATCTGGAACTGCAAAGATTAACCAGAATAATTGTCTATTATTAAGGGGCCCAGATTGCACAATTTTCTCATCTATAGTCCTATTTGCACGAGATTAGTGTTACCTGTGGACCTTTGGCGATTTGTAATAATTCCGGAAGATGTTTGAGATCTTAATCCCATGCAAATGCGCCATGCCTGCAATTTGTAAAGTAAAAATTCCACACAAATTATTTCCGTCATAATCCCAAGAATTCAAGTAAAAAACATATTTCTTCATGTTGTTTGCACTGAAATGAATCATGGGATATGTAGTTCCCGATGTTTATAACCATGCATTTAAGCAAACAGTGACAGTCCACGATATTATTGTGAGACTTTTGACGATACGATATCACAACAATTTGGGTTATTGTTACGTCCCTAATATTTCGCCAAACACAGACGTCTGGTGATAAAACTAGTCCCGTGCGAATCTGCATCTTAGTGTTTGTTGCCTTTTCTACTCCTTTCTTTTCATTCTGTGTTCATTTCTCTTTCAATCTCAGTCAGTGTCAGTAAAATAGAGTGATTTAATTCGCAAATTACCAGACGTCTCCAGGTTTTTACTTATCCCGTGCGAATAGAGCTCGTGTTATAATGCTGTTTCTTGTCTCATCGCAAACAGACCTGGACTTGTGTTTTGTTTCATTCGCACACGTTTCGACACACAAATTTAACACACAAGTTCTTCTCTCAAACTGAAAACGCTCTGTTCCACCTTGTGACGTCATGTGGTAATACAGGAAGTGCTCCACTGGGTTCTTAAACTCCATACATCTTCACTAGAATCATTTGGATTATTTCAGCCCTGGAATTCCCAATATCTGCTGAACAAAATGTAAAAACCTGTTAACCTTTAAACTCCTGCTTCATGACATCACAAGGTGGAACGGAGCATTTTCAGCCTTGTACATGTAGACAGACTAATAATAAAGGATAGCGCTGGGTATCATTAGAAGTTGCCAATACGATACATATTTCAAATTCAAAGGCCACGATACGATACATATCTCGATACATGGGTCACGATACGATACTTATCTCAATACATAGGCCACGATAAAATACATATCTTAATACATGGGGCCCGATACGATACATATCTCGATATATAGGCCACAATGCAATACATATCTCGATACAGTGCACTTCCAATTCAATACGATATATTTCAAATCGATTTGATACGGTTCAGTAAAAATAAAGGCTAAATCATGGCTGTGATACTAAAAGTCTTTGTTAAACCACTTGTGCCAAGTTCATATGAAACACAAACATTTTAATCTTCAAAACAGTGAAAATGTCAAATGTGTCACATGAACGAGTTTCCTTTCTTGGAACAAGCAACAAAACTGTAGCTTTGTAACAAAATAATTTAGTAAAATATACCAAAAAATACTCTTGCTGATATATTGATACAGCAGCCCACAATATCGATACTGTACCATTGCATTAAACAATACGATATAGCGATATTTTGCACACCCCTAGTGAAGGAGGTAACATCATTCAAACATGCTTACATCTCACAAGAATCAATCATTTTGTTTAAACCCATGAGGTTTCAGACCATCTAAAACTGGCTGATGTCTGCATTGTGTCACCATTGTAACTGCTAAACATTCCCCCGTAGACATCAATGCAGATCTTGATGTCTCTGCAAAATATCAGTCATGAAGCTATAATTCATTGGCTGTTTGGTACAGGTGACTCAAACACAGGCCTCCTCCTCCTCCTCCTCGCCGCGGTCACTGGGCACACCTCACCTGGGTCTGGGGCATTTGGTTGGGAGGCAGGCCGGCTCATTTGCATCCACTGTGGGACGAGTGCAAATGGTGCTGTAGGTGGACTTAAGACGCATTAAGATGGTGCCAATGTTTAGACTGCTATAAATCCTGCTGTGAGATTGTCAGGCTCAGGCAAAGCTGCTATTAGCCACAGTAAACAGGAAGACAATTGTTTCGCGCTAGTGTTGAGCCTACAACAGTAACTTCACTTCTTGGTACTGTTGTCATTTGCTAATCTTACACACTTGATTTCAGTATCAAGGAGTAGGTTGGAGTTCTAAACACTGAAATTTCATAAGATATCGTCAAAGGTGTCAATAATATCATTGGCCGTCACATATATTGAATTGCAAGTCTCTTTGTTTGAATTTATTGTGTAGCAGAAACATAAGAAACAGAAAGAACTACACAGACCATGATCCTTTGCTCTGTTCAATGTAGACAGTAGACTGTCATGGCATTTTAAACGGAAAAAAGTATCATATAAACAATTTTGTTAGCCTCCACAAACTATTGCAGTAAGTATAATACTGTGAGATTAATTTTGTGAAAATATCGTAAGCTTTGGATATTGTTACATCCCTAAATCTCCACAACTCCAAGTATGTTTTCATGAGGTTTCAACATTATAACATGCCTTAACTCTTTCCCCCATGAAGACGACATTTGACGACCCCCCTGTTTCCTTAATGACGACTTTTGACACCTCCGCTGTATCACTAAAGACGTGATTTGACGACCTCGAGAAATGGCTCGGTTTTTCACATTTAAACAGAGACTGCGATAGGTAGGGGCCACTACAACCCACACTAGACTGACCATTAGGATTCAAGGATATGTTTTTGCCAATTTTTATCCGAAGTTAATCGAAGTAGTGATGATGGTAGCTTCCGGAAAAAACACAACACGAAACACGTGCAATGGAAAGATCGCGCTGCTGCGACGCACAGTTTTAGAAATAATGAGGAGCGGACGTATTTTATGGATAAGTTTAGAGAAAGTGACTTTTATAGATTTCAAAGTGATGATGAGGGTGATTATAAAGTGGAAAACAGCGATAGCGACGGACTTACAGAGAGTGAATCTTACAAAGATGAGAATGACACTGATGCGTCTGTATGGAGTCCTGCGATATCCAAACAAACTATCCGGGCTTTATACTCGATTATGAACCAAAATTGCCCTGAAATCACTCGTGGAAGTCTGTTTTCTTTTATGCAGTTATGCTCTATGGGTAGAACTAGTAACATATGTATGGGTTGTTCCTAGTAGGCGTCCAGGGGGGAAAGAGTTAAAAGTCCTATATTACGCAAAAGGGACTCTTGTGAGCTTTAAGTCATGTTTTTATGTTGTCACCTCCTCAAAAACATACCTGGAGTTGTACAATACAAAGTAGGAAAAAAATTGAGGCACTCAAAAAGTACAAAATAAATAAAAGCCTTTAATACCACATGGCAGATAAAGTTAAAATACGCCAACGCGTTTCGGCCCTTCGGCCTTCATCAGGACAAACTCCAGATGGTTCTCACAGTGCAGATTTAAAGTAATAGGTGTAGGTCACATGTTCACAGTGGGCTGGCCCACAGTCCCCTTGATGCATGATGGGACATGTAGGCCTTAACAAATTTTAATTACAGGCTATACAAGTTCAAATACAATAATACAAGACATAAATGGTACAAATCCCAACAACCAATACATAGAAAGATACATTATATGAAAATAGTATAAAATAGTATAAAAAACTCAAATAAAAAGATACATAGTGTAAGGATATATGTAGTGCGATAATTCAAAAGTGCTTCAGCTATAGTTTGCATAATATATTTAAGAGCTAGTCTTAAATAATTTCATGAAGACAGGGATATAGAGCAAGGATCGATTACACATTTAAAGCTTGTGGTTTTAAAGGAAGGGGGAGAAATCTGCCTCTCTATTGAGTCCTGGAAACTGTGTAGCCTTGAGAGTGTAGATCCAGTGCCTCAGTTTTTTTCCTACTTTGTATTTGAGACTGGTCCCTACATTGAAGAACACCTAAAGAACAATTCTGCACATTTTTTGCATATCCAAGTAGCACTCCTGCCCCAAAAGCTTTGCATACCTGGAGTTGTGTTTTGTTTCATTCACATGTTTCAAGAAGTCTTTGTTATTAATCTTTCTGTATCACCCAAACTGAGAATGCTCTGTTCCTTGTGTTGTCATTAAGAGGTAGTTTTGAAGATGACAGCTACCTTTTACCTTTTTTCAATAGAGATTGGCAATTCCAGGACTGAAATAATCCTTCTAGTGAAGGCAAAGGAGAAAGCTCTCGAAGGGCTCAGACATCATCTGGTTATTATCTGTCTCCCATTTACAACTTCATCCTCAAAACAAAGAAAACAATACATTCCTGGGTCAGGTCCAGAGGTGTGAAAGCCACCAGGGGCCTGAAAGACTATGCTAATATGACTCCCCACTTAGTGCAGTGCAACAGATCGAGCTCAGTGTTTCCCAAACTTTTTTTTCATGGGGCCCATATTTTAAAAGTTACAAACCTTCACAACCCAAATCAATAGACCTTATTTATAAATCACAAAATAAAGGTGGATTTGACCATTATTGAACATTAATGAGGATATTTTACTGTTGACTGAGTGATCGTGTCTCTGAACAATTAGTATTACTCAGGTTTTCAACAAGGAAAAGCAGCAATAAAAGGATCCATAAGTCGCCTATTTGGACATTAAATGTAGCCCATCTCTTTTTCTTTTCAACATTCAGTTCAACCGGTAATATCCAAACAAAATAGAAATTCAAAATTATACAAAACATGTCTTAACATTTCTCATGAGATAGGTGGGCCAGTCTGCTTTTTTTTGCATTTTTTTTTTTTTTGCATTTTTTGTTCCAGTCCAGGGTGTGGGAGGAGAGCGCAGCAGCAGATCAGTGTCAGAACTGTATATTTCAGACGTACATGCAGATCGTGACAAGGGATGTGAGGGGCACAAGCCCGTCTTTGGGAAACAATGACCTAGCCAACAGAAAGAGAAACTGTAAACAAGTGGCTGTGTTAGTTTCAGTGTGTCCACCAGCGTCTGACAAGAAATGAAGAAGCAGCTTGGATGAGCTGTGAAACGTATTCAACCGAATGAACTTTTGTCCAGTTGACAAACTGAATTTCTCTTTTGTCATGGATTCTACCTGGATGACTGAGGGATTTTATACACCTCCTAGTGAAAGAGTATGAAGTTGAAAACACAGTGGTATCATCATTATTATTGCTATCATGTTATTTATTTTATTATTATGTAGTTATTTTCTAAATTTTTTTATTATTTTTTTCTTTTCTTTCTTTTTAATCTACTTTCTATGTTTATATTGAGTTAATGTGTGTGTGTGGGGAGGGGGGAATAATAGGGCATGTATATTATGATTTATGTGGACAAAAAAGCACTGAATAAATTGCAAATTATGTAAAAAAAAAAAAAAAAAAAAAAAACACAGTGGTATTAACATATGACATCACACGGTGGAACAGAGTTTTTCTGTTTGAGAGAAGACCTCTACATATGTCTAAGTATGTTTGTGAGTTAAATGTGTGTGAATGAAACAAAACAACTCCAGTTTTTGATGAAGAAACAACATTATAACATAGATCAGAAAATAGCGCAATATGTACCGTTTAAAGCTCACAAGAGTCAATTTTGCATAATACAGGACTTTTAATTCCCATATATTGCCAATTCTGATAAGTCCCTCTGTCCACCTCACTCACTCCCAGTCCCCGTGTTGAGGATGAGGGCCTCGGACTGCTCCCTGCCTCCCTCTGGCCTGGCTCTGCTCTCGTATTGACTCAGTTGCACATTATAAATCAAGCCGGACTGGGGCTACCTTGCAAGTACCCTAATGAAAGCTCATTCATAACAAGGCTAAATGGTCCTGACAAAAGTCCTAATGAGGAAATCAATAGCTCCGTGATTGTTACTCTGCTTATACTAATACGTGCCTGTTGTGGTCCATTATTTACTGCTGGGACTGGGATGTGTCAGCACTCCTCTGGCCTCCACCTCCGAGATGAATGGGCCCCTCTCGTGTTCTCGGAGGGATCGGGAGCTGTAGATGTAACCCGGAGTTTGAGTTTGGAGTTAGCGTGAAATGTGAAATAGTGGCATCGCAGCAGTTTCGTCCAAAGACTAATGGTAAGAAATCAGCTCCTGCATTGATTACTGACATGTTTCTGATAAGCGGAGAGGAAGTCTGGGATCAATATTAGGGACTTGCAGATTATGAGGACCTGTGTGTATAAAAAATAAATAAACGAAGAGATATTTTTGTGTTTTCTGCAAGCCAAGTGTTCTGAAGTTTTAACAAAAGGTTTTCAACTGGCAAGAAAAGGTTATAAAGAGAAAGGTTTTGTTAAAGCTTTAGTGGTTGGTAACGCGCAAGGTTTTCAGTTATCTCATTAATTTCTAAATTTTTTTTTTTTTTTATGTTTTTTAATATTTTAGTTTCTATTATATTTAGTTGTTACATCAGTGAAGTAGTGGTAGCCTCTATACACCCAGGTAAAAGTCTTATTATGCACAATGGTATAATGGCATTTATATTTTACCCATGCATGTTTGAGTAATCTAGCGATCTCTCTCATGCCATATTTGGACCCTCCTTACAGTTCCCGGGACAATTCTATCCAAAGCTCCGCCCACAAGTCCTACGTCGCTCAGGTTCACAAATAACGATTCTCCACAAATATACAAAAGAGTGATGCAAAACAATGTAGTACAACTTCACAAACCTGGTGTGATGTGCAGTAGTTTCCTTAGCGGGATGCACGCTGATTGTGTGTTGTGATAGCGCTCTGAGCTGGGAGTGACTTAGTGCAGAGAGCAAAGGGAGGGGGGGATACAGTGAGTCAAAAACGAAACAAAAACTTATAAAACATGTTCTTATTTAGCATTTTCAAAACACCCCCTCTTTAAAGCTGCATTGTGTAACTTGATGGAGCAAATGCTTTTCTCCAAATTACATTATTGTTTTGTCTGGAATGTTACACAGTATTAATTCATTAACCCAGTTAACCCAAAACATGCCACACAGGTCTCCAGGAAGAATAGCTGATAGCTAAAATCAATTAAATACAATCAATCAATGAACCTGCTCTGGTGCTAAAACCTGGTACAATATTTCTCCTGTTAAGGTTAATGTATATTGTGCACTGTCCCTGTCATGCTCTCCTCTGGGTCACATTGACCCGAAGATTTTTTTCCCCTTCCCGCTCTCTTGGGGCGGGTCAATCAGACCCAAAAATGTATTTTCTCACTTGGCAAGAATTTATTTGAAAATAAATTTTTGGGTCTGATTGACTCGCCGAAAGAGAGCGGGAAAGAAAAAGAAATTTTCTTTGGGTCAGTGTGACCCCGAGGAGGGCGTGAGGGTTAAATAAATAAACTATATTCAAAAAATCATTCATTCATCATTGCATTTATATAGCATATTTAAAGACACCCAGAACACTTTACAGTTCATTGCTCATTCACTTCACACTCAATGGTGTAAACTACTACTGTAGCCACAGCTGCCCTGGGTCAGACTGACGGAAGGCTGTCAAATCTGCGCCATCAGCCCCTCTGTCCACCACCAGCACTCACACACTCACCACTTTCTTACTAGGCAATGTTGGCGAAGTGCCTTGCCTAAGGACACAACAACAGTTTTGCCACTGGCGCCCCCCTGTGGCAGCTGGAATTCCCAGCAGTCTCCCATCCTGACGAGATCAGGTTTTGACAAGCTTAAACCTTTCAATCGTCATGGAGACCAGGCCAAGTTACAAGTCAGATCTGTGGAGAGGCCAGCCCGCTCACAGTCAGAATGTTGTTTTTCTAGGTATTTTTGTGCTATAAAACAACCTGTAATTGAATAAATGTAAGGTGGATCTGTTTAATGTCACACTGTGGAACATTCCAAGCAGAGCAAAGATACATAGATATCCATAGAAACAAGCAGGCGACGGACCTCAACCAAAAAGTTACATAGTGCAGCTTTAAGTGAATTTGAATTCATTGTGTTCTTGCTCTTGATCCAGACCAAACTCTCCTGACGTAGCTGTGATCTCTTTCACTCTGTGCTCTCTTTACATGCTTTGAATGGCTCCATTAGTCACCATTCATCATTGGCTTAAACACCTCACTCCTGGAGCTGTAAATTGAGATCTCAAACACTAAACAAATCTCCAGATGACTGTGGTAAGCTAATTCTCAGTGTGGGGCTGCTGTTAGCGCAGTTTGACTTAAGGTGTACGTGGAGCAGTGACTGACAGGT